AGGGATTGTTACATTTTTTTCCGTTTTTAATTTATTTTAGTAAATTTTTTAAAATTTCTGTCGTGTGTTTTTTTTAATCCTTATAAATTGTTATCATTTGCTATGTTTTAACAAAAAAGGGTAGTCAAAGTAGTTTGCAATAACAGTTTCTTTTAGTTTTCAAACCTTAAGTATTGATTTAGCTGTACCAAAACAGAGCAGTACCCCAATTGACTGTTTGTGTAAAGTTTATTGAGAAGCAATCCTATTGCTGGTTCATTCTGTTTCTCTGGCTCATATTGGTTCAGTCCAGAGATGAAAATAATTTACATTTTTATACGTACTGTTGTATCGCAACTCCCCTGGGATGGGGGAGTTGCAATACAACAGTACCTGTAAAAAATGTTAGTGTGGTGTGGCTGAAGGCAGGAGAGTGGGAAGTGTCAGGGTAGGGTTAGAGCTCAGGGCAGGGGGTGGGAATATAGGGGGTGCAAGAGTCAGAGCAGGAGCTTGGGGATGTGGGAGACTCAGGCAGGGGGTGCAGAAGTCAGGGTTGGGGGATCCAGAGGGGCTGAGAGCAAGGGGATGGTGTGGGAGGAGTGCAGGAGTCAGGGTGGGAATGAGAAGGGGCTCAGGACAAGGGGCTTGGGGTGTGTGTGTTTGTGGGGATTTGTCTGGAGAGGTCACCCCAAGGGATGTTAGATATTGTAATTGAATAGTTGTGTAACCGTATGAAATCTCAGCAGTTACATGACTATTTGATAGTTCCTGGGGTTGGGTCCAGCAGCCAGTACACTCCCGGCTCCAGTCCCAGGGAGCCCCTCGCCAGGCTCAGGACAAGGGGCTTGGGGTGTGTGTGTTTGTGGGGATTTGTCTGGAGAGGTCACCCCAAGGGATGTTAGATATTGTAATTGAATAGTTGTGTAACCGTATGAAATCTCAGCAGTTACATGACTATTTGATAGTTCCTGGGGTTGGGTCCAGCAGCCAGTACACTCCCGGCTCCAGTCCCAGGGAGCCCCTCGCCATCCCGTACTGCTGGCTCTGTCTCAGAGGCAGGAGAGCGT